TACCTTTAAACTCAATCTAAAATAAACACTAACCTTATCGACCTCCCACCATGCAGGATAAAGTTTAGCTTGTCCATTGCCCAACGCAAATGATTCATCTCGTTGATTCTTCAAGTGAACTGCGTTAAAAGCCGTCGGCATTATTGTATACCGTGTATTTCTTTTATTTTCCTTAAGTTTCCTAATTATTAGTAGACGTGACACCCACGCATCGATATGCTGTTTTACAAAAAAAATACATATATTAGTGAATTACATTAATTTTTAAACAAATTAATCAAATGAAAATATAAGAAAAATATAAGACTTACCCCTCCATCGAAATAGCCATTGTCTTCGACCCCTAATAATACGCCCCACCAAGACCGATCAAGCAACAAATAGATATCATCATTGAGCTTGCATATGTCAGTGAAATACCCCTGGCTTCGCTCAAGTAGATAAAAATCAACTGCGGTCTTAGCCTAAAGGGTGTTATCCAAAATTGTGTCCGGTAGTTGTTTCCTCTCCTCTTCAGATACCGGTATGGTACTGGCCGGTAACTCATACGAGAGCCAACTTGAATCCATCATATCCGGCACGTCAGAGGGTTTCTCAAGAATCCTACATATGACGCCATGTGAATCGGGCTCTTGAATGGTGGGAGGGACCTCTTCAACGATGACAGTGGCCTCTTGAACGGTGGGAGGGGACTCTCGAGGAATGATAGGGGCCTCTTCAACGATAGGAGTGGACTCTTGAGGGATGATAGGCGAGTCGGGCTTCTTCTTGCGGTGTCTTCGCACTATTGGGGTATACAGAGACTTAATAGCACGTGCACGCCGTCTGATGCGTGAACTCTGTCGTGCAAGAAAAACCCGACGTAAAACATCCACCTTATCGGTCCGCTAAATAAAAATACAAATATCAGTAAATAAACAGACATGATATTTAAACAGTGAAAACAAAGATAAATATATTTCAAACTTTCAACCAAAAGACAAAACAAAGACAAATACTAACTTCACAGTGTTAAAGTAAAAAGTTTAGCAGTTTTGGCAGCAACCGAATAAATTTACTAAGCAATCTAAGTGAAATGGTTAATTTAAGTGAAATTACGAGTAAATTTATCATCAAGTTAAATATGGAAAATCTTAAACTTACCTCGTTGCGTAGAGTATGAACCTCATTCTGCAACGATACTACCATCTCACGTAGAGCGGCAACCTCACCACGTAAAGTAGACACCTCCACACGCCATGCACCATCGTTATCGCGTAGAGTACCGATCTCCTCACGCAAGGCATTGACCTCATCACGTAACTCCCTTGACTCATCCCGTGGAGGTGGAGAACAGGGAGATAGAAGTCGTGGCATCTTTGTCGGTCGCCTATCATGAGGTGATGGTGGAGAAGAGACTCGATGATGTGACGGGATAGGTGATGGCTCTCGTTGTAGAGGTGTATAGTCGGGTCAATCAGGTGATGGCTCTGGGTGAGGTGATGGCTCTCGAAGTGGAGGAAGTGGAGGCTGCTCATCATTCGTGCCATCAAAAAAACGCTGACTAGCTTGCCACCAATCAGTGGCCAGCTCAGCCTCCGTGGGTGTCAGTCTCATTAATGGAGTGTTGGCCTCCTAAAAATATAAAAACTAAAACAAAGTTAAACGTCTACTATTAATAACTTGTTTATATATGATAGTATTTGTTAACTTACATATTTATTGTCGCATATGGTATTAAGTCTTCCCAATCCAACATACGTTTCCTCTTCCAGGAAATAGCCCTAGGAATATCATCTGAGGATTTTAATGCATATGTCTGCATGCTGGGGAAAGCCTCGAATATCCAAATCTACAAACAATATAATAACAAACATTAGTAATTGTTAAATAATTAATTATAATTTTGAAAACATTATATAGAAATTCTTACCTTAAAGGCCCAAACAAAGCCTGAAAAAGTGTATTTCGACCCATCGCCCCGCAAACTTTTGCGGTCATCAAAGGCAGACGACAACTTAGTCCAGGTAGCTTTCCATATATACGAACCCCACGGAAACAGATTACATGCATTTAGGTCCTCTACCAATAATATTAGCTCCTGAGGAATAGGTTGTCTGGCCTCTCTGCCTAGAAAGCCGGCATACAAAAGTAGTAGAAGGCATACTCGGACAACATCGACGTCATTCATCCGAGTAAAACCATCTTTCTTATTAAACAATTTCTTCATGTCGTCGACGTGTAAGTTCGGCTTCTCTATTGACTCATCAGGAAAAACCCTGGATAACCATGATGGGCGGGTGATATGACGAGTGTATCGGCCTACATCATCGTGTCCGAATCGTAGACCAGTGATTAAGCAGAACTCATTCCGCCCAAAACAAGTATACGCCGGTGGAAAATGAAACCATATCTCTTCCTCACCACGTTGTATACTGTCGGGTAGATCGCTAGTCATGGTATGAAGCCACAAATGGGTCAAACTAGCATCTCCACCCGGATGTTGTACTCTCAGCCATGGCCCGAAGCAGGTTTCTTCAAACAATTTTCTTTGTGCAGGTGAAAGCTTCGAAGCAATTGTAGTGGCTAGGCTAACTTTATTCCTTAATGTCAATGAAGCCGAAAAAAATTTCTACAAAAAAACAATAAACATACCAAGTTAGATATACCAAAAATTACACTGTCAAGATATACCAAAAACAAAACAATAAACATAAATAGTAGTTTATTCTTGAAACTAAAATTTGCAACACTGTTTTTGTCTTTTGGTTGAAATGAAAATCGCAACGAGATAATGAGAATCGCAACGCGGAAATGACTATCGCAACGAGAGAATCGCAACGCGAAATGACTATCGCGACCAGACAATCGCAACGCGAAATGAAAATCGCAACCGCGAAATAAAAATCGCAACGCGAAATGAAAATCGCAACGCGAAATGAAAATCGCAATGCGATTTTGGTTTCGCGTTGCGATTTTTATTTCGCGTTGCGATTATCTCGTTGCGATAGTTATTTCCGCGTTGCGATTTCATTCTCGAAACTATTCTTCTTCTGCATTACTTCAACCAAAAGACAAAGCAAAGACAAATACTAACTTCACATGCTAAACAGTTTAGCAGTATTGGCAGCAATCGAATGAATTTAATAAGAAATCTAAGTGAAATGGTTAATCTATTATTGAAATTACCAGTAAACTTATCATCAATCTCAATATGAAAAACCTAAAATAATGCAAAAATTTCAAAATAAAAATAAAAAAAACTAACCCTCGGAGGTTGATTTTCCATTTCTGAATGATTGTGAGGGATTTTTGACTGTGAATGGTTGTGAGGGATTTCGCCGGCGATGGGGACGGAAATCTTCGGAGATGGGGACGGATTTCGCCGTAGAGAGTGAGAGATGGAGATGGGACTGAGTGTTGTGTTTTTGGGTTTGAGGTTATGAGTTGCGATTACTGTGGACGGTTCATTTTCCGATTTATTAAGAAAAAATACGTGTTTGGAATTTGAAAAAAAAAAATACGCGTTAATACGAATGACGCTATGTAAACCGCGTTGCGAAAGTCAGTATCGCGTTGCGAAAGTAAGTATCTCGTTGCGATTTTTTATTATCGCATTGCGATAGTCAGTATCGCATTGCGATTTTCCCAATTCGCGTTGCGATTTACTTATTCGCATTGCGATTTTCCCAATTCGCGTTGCGATTTACTTATTCGCATTGCGAATTGGGAAAATCGCAACGATACTGTAGACCATCGCAACGCGATTTTCAACTATCGCATTGCGAAAATGCAACGCGAATTTGCGATAATGGAGATTGCGTTGCGAATTAGCGATCGCATTACGATTTTGTTGGTCATTTTGGCAAATCCGGAAAAAGTTGGTTAAAATCGTATATTATATGAGATTTTTGGTCACTAAGGTTATTTTCTCTTAATAATATATTAGTCTTAAGCGTATTATAATTGTACATGCCCATAATAATACTTGACTATGGATCTTTTAATAGTAATAATGTTATTATATGAACTTTATTATCTTTCCGTTTATGTTAAACACAAACATATAACTGAAAATAATAGTGACAATGTCTTTATTCAATAAAATAAATAAATAAATGTATTATTACAATCATAATATCATATGATTAATCTTTGGTCATAAATTAACAGTCAAACTTACAGCTTCGGCCAAGTAAAAGCTTGCATACAACTAGATTTACATAGTTATACATGTAAACGAATGGGATAATATGATTCCTCCGGAACAGGAAAAACCTATGCCTATTTACTTCTATGATGACACCAAGCCAGAACATGTAGGCCATCACCTATTTGCTTGCTTTCAAACCCCATATTGCAACATCCTAAATTGATATTGGAGCAACAGCCAACAGATTCCACCATAACAGAAATCAGCTCCACAACATCATCATCAGAAAGGAAACCTTTCTCCACAACACACTAAGCTATATCTTCTTCTCCTTGTTTAAAAATCTGATCTAGAATTGATATTGGTGCAACAGATTAATCCACCATAACAGAACTATTTTCCTCTATCTCATTACCATTTCTGTACTTCGATTCAACCATCTCTACACCCAGATTTTATGGCGCAATGCTTGTATCAGCAGAAGGCTTAACATCGTTATCTAATTTGGAAATTTCAATCAATACATTTTTTCGACTCCCTTTCAAACTAAGCCCCTTATCTTCACCTTTGCCCCATGTGTATCCCTATGGGGAGAAGTTTGCTAGTAAGAACTCTTCCATTATGAAAATTACAGGGGGAGAGACGATAAAGAAGGTGTTCGATGTGAAAAGCAAAATATATATATATATATATATATATATATATATATATTATTTCTTGTAAAAAGAATTGTTTCTATTATAAGTCCTTTTTCTATTAGGAAAAGAATTGTTTTTTTTATCTTATATAAACCCAAATCTCATTGCCTTGAAAAATCATATTTTTCATCTCCTCCTACTCTACAAATTTGCTTTTTTGATCTAAGAATATGACATATCATCAAATAAGATATTATCGTGGTCGTCAAGGAAACTATCATAATAGATCAACGAATACTCATCCCAAACCCAAAGAAAGTTTCTACCAACCATTACCTAAATGGGAGAGACAATTCTGCACGGAAGTGGGAGCAATGTCATGGAGAAGATTTGTTGCAGCAAAAGAGAATTTGTGTGAAAGTGACAAAGTATTCGAGTGGGATGATTCGGCTGGGTTAAAAGCTTTTCAAGAAGCCAAACAAAGATTCTGGGAAAGTTACCATGGACATCCTTGCAAAACGAGGTTGCCGATTCGTGCAGAGGATATGTATATCGATGAAAATATTGATTGGAATCCAAAGATCGACCCTAAACTTTTTTCAGAATTAAAATCACTTTCTGATGACGAAGACGATGAGAAGGACAAAGTTAAAGATATCAAAACGTTTTCAATTCCATTAGAGGAGATTAAACCCACTGGATGGGTTCTCTACGAGGAACCTACTCCACAATTACGTACGATTGTTGGATCAGATTAATAAGTGGAACAATAATGCCAAAAGTTGGCCAAGAACTCTGGAGTATGCGATAGTTTTCGAAGTCCTCAAATATTCATTATTTTATTGTTGTTTTTGGTTTTTTGGTTTCGTATTGTTTGGTCGTTTAAATCAATACATATTTACAATTTTGAGTTTAAGTTACCATGGATGGGCGGGCGACGACAGGGACTACGATGCATGACGCCCCAAGGTGGTTAGATTGATCATGCAGCAAACCTGAGTCTAATCAGTTGGTAGAGCACAAGGTTCTTAATCTTGAAGTCGTAGGATCGAGTCCCACGGAGGGCATTTCATAATTCGGAGGTCTCTTACGGAAGCTGCTCTTAACCTGGTGTTGGAGGTAGTTTACTATCTTACCTCCCCTTACCCCATACATATGGGAAAAAGGGACAACCATTTTATTCTTGAAAACACCCTTTTAAGAAAAATGCGGATCAATATTTTAAACGAGAGAATTATTATTATTTATTAATCTAGGCTGATTACAAATGGTAGTATATGTTTTAAATATTCTCAATCAGTTGATAATAAACACTCGAATATATTGCAGTCGTTAGTATTCGAACCCAAGATTTCTAAAGATTATAACCATTGTTTTAGTTACAACTGAGGTAACTTGATTCGTACAAGCGGAAGAATTATTTAGAAATTAAAATATAATTATTACCGATAATTCTGTTGTCTTGTTGGTTGAGTTACGTGGCATTGACACTCTCTCCTCCAAGTATAAAAAATATAAGATTGAATTTTAAATTTGAAAATAAAATAGGGACCAAAACATAATTTGACCTTTTTATAGATAAATGAAAATTAATAAATCTCTGAAGTCTCTGATTCTTAATCCTGATCCACAAATATTAACGGTCTTTCTTCATTTTCTCTTAAGATGGATAAAGAATCCCAAAGTTCAGTTAAAAGATTAAAACATGGTTTCCTTGTTTAAAAGCAAGAACCAGATTATTTTTTTCCTGCGAGAACACCAAAACAATGGCGCTAATTCCCTCTCCTTCCGTTTCTTATCCAAAATTCCTCCAAATTTCTGTTAAATCTCCGTCACCGTTGGCACATTATCTTCTCTTCGGTTCTCGATGGCGAGATTCTTCTCCGATTCTGCTTCAAAAGCACTTCGGAGTTCCTCTACTTCCGGCTGTAGTGAGATCGCCGTTTTTTAAGAAGTTTGAGTGCTTCGCTAGATCATCGTCAACGGAGGAAGATCGTTTGAGCGAGGCGGAAAAATTGGCTGTTTCAACTGCCGATGATGGAGGGATGGAAGATCCGAAGGTGAAGCAACATCAAAGTTCATTGGCTGCCGCGCAGAGGATCGCTTCCTCTCCCAGTGATTCTTTCGGGCTTGGAATTCGTGAACCTGTTTATGAGGTTCTCTCTCTTCCTTACTTTCTGAAAGAAAATAGAAATTGTTTACTTTTTATCATAAATTTTTTATTCTAAGAACGGAAAAGGAAAAGAGATATTAAGATAGTCTGAGCCGAAAAAATGGATCATCAAAATATTTTACTTTCAGTTGCATGCAATTATGTGTTATGATTTTTTTTTCGAAGATTAGTTAATGTAATCGCGGCTTATTAATTCCTAAACAATTTCCTAGTTACTAATTTGCCATGGGCTCTTAGGATTTTTTTAGTTGCCTTCCAATTTTGCTTCTTTTTTAACCTTTCTTCTATTTATAGACATGATAGATTGATAGTATGCATTTTTCTTAGAAATTATAACCACGCATATTATATTTATTCATTTGCATAAATAAATTTTCTATTCACTATTTCAAAAGTTGTGGGAAAATGCTTATAACTCATTTTACAACTTACAAATTGTCACCAAGGATTTTGCTTTATATATAGTTTACAATTTTATATCCCATGTTTTGTCATTCTCTTAAGGTGGTAGAGGTGAAGTCAAATGGAATTTTATCTACTCGGAAGATAAGCAGACGTAAATTATTGAAATCAAGTGGTAATGTAATTTTGAATTTTCTTTTCATAATTGTTAGTTGTTACTTGTGTGTTGAGCTTTACTTGCAGAAAATGAAATAAATAAATAAATAAGAACCTATGTTTTTCTTTTTCCTATATATTTATAGTAGATTAATTTATTTTTCTTCTTAGGCCTTCGTCCAAGAGATATTCGCAGTGTTGATCCATCTTTGTTTTTGACAAAGTCAATGCCAGCTCTTCTGGTAATAGACCCTTGTGTCGTAATACCCATGATAATCCTTCTTTTTTATGCTTGGTTCCCATTGCTTGGATTTAAGCATCAGTGTGTTCTTTAGTTTCCTGTGTTTGCAAACTCATTTCCCTCTTCCATTCTAAATGCTATAGGTACGTGAGCGCGCCATTCTACTTAATATGGGATCATTACGGGCAATAGCAATGAAAGAATGTGGTCTTATATTTGATTATAATAGGTAAATGTCTCCTGCATCTGTGCAAACACTATTTCATTGTGATCTCATTGTTCTCACCGTAACTCGTCTTGATTTACTATGAACCAATAATGATGCTTGTTGCATGTATTGAATATTAACAGTGAAGGAGGAAAAGCTTTTATTGACACATTGTTGCCTCGACTGAATAACATGAATGGAGTGCAGTGTATGCCATTTGAGCTTGAGGTTTGGGTCCCGTGCTTTAAGATGCTGATAATGAAAGTAATTCATGCATTGTTCTCAGGGTAGAAGCTATTATCTTAAACATCTGAGGTTGTTGAGAGTCTTTAGTTGTGGCACTTTCAGGTTGTTGAAGTGGCATTACTTTCACAGATACAGCGTTTGGAACAAAAACTAATGGATTTAGAACCATGTGTGAGTATGTGAACATAGTGAGTGCAATTTTTTGTTTGTTTCTTGTTTTAGCTTCCCTTTTCTTTTTCACAAGTTTAATTGTGAAAGCCCTGAAACTGCACACCATTTGTCCCTCATTTCCTACAGTGGTTGCAAGTAATTTCAGCTGAAAACATTTTTGATTGGTTTTTTAAGGTCTAAGTGGCTCTACAATAAGAAATATATTCTAATTGTAGCAGTTCTTATAGGTATTTGTCCTATGCCTTTTTTTCATTTATTTACATCCCCTCCCCCCTCTCGTCTATGAGATACATGTTTGGAAAATTACCATTAAAAACATTTGAGAAGTTTGCCGAAGTAACCATTTTTCTTTCACTCTTGGTGTTTCTGACTGTCTTATACCACAAATGGCTGAAAACAAACCAAGCTGCTCTTGAACAACTTCAAAATTCTGGGTTATGTTTTTTTTTGCTATTGTGAATGTCTTGATTGTTAATTTCAAAACAACTGATTTATTGGCTCATTTTGATGATACGAGATACATATGTATTCTTTTATTTAGTCTGTTGTATTTTGCCTACAGAATAGGTAAGGTCCTTGTGGCATTGTCTTTATCTCATATAAACAAAAATGCTTTTTCTTTTTTAGAACAATCATCCAGAAGATTATTATAGATGTTACAGAATAATTACAACTAAGCTCATCTATGTAAAGGGGCAAACTAGCAATAATATAAGCTTGAAAAGGCATTGCTTAGCATTGATTTATGAGATCTTTGGCTCGCTCATTTGCAGGTCTTGCTTCTGGTTCTTACCTTATATATACCCTAAGGTTAATAGCATGAAATGTCCCTAAACTATGGTCTATGTTCTAAATTGATCCAAACTTCTAAACATTTTAATTAAGTCCTTAAGATATCAATAGTGTTATCAATCATGTCCTTCTATCAGGCTAACTGTTAACTTGGGCGTTAAATGTAAAATCAAATATGAAGTATAACATATTTAGAAAACAGATAAATTTAAAAATGAGGGTGCCTATCACATGGATAACTGAGACCTGACATGTTTAAAAAAAGAAATAGCCTCCTCAATTTTAATGATATTGTTTGTTTTTTAACACCTTAGATCCAATTCATCCATGTGGTAAGTACACATTTAAGATTTGATCCATATATTTTGAATATGCTTCACATCAAACCCAAGCTGACTTTTAATGGCTGATCTGACAGCTAGGCTGACGGAAAGGATTTGATTTATACAATATTGATACTTTTAGGACTCGATTAGAATGTTTTGAAGTTTTGGGACCAATTTATAATCTGTGTCATAGTTTGGGGATGTCTGGTGCAAGTTTCCCAAATTACAATCGATGTTTCCCTAGATATACACCTGAACAATTTATTATTTCATTGTGAATACTTAAGAACTTGAAATGGCTATGGCTGATTCTTGATTAGTTATTTCCATTTTCTGGTTGTGTATAAATTTGTACCTTGATTGCCTTGTGTTTTAGACTGTAATTATGTGATAATTGGGATATCTCATGAAGCTGCTTAATCATTATTATTGCTGTTCCATTTGCATAGGTTCGAACTATACTTAAGGTGTTGCCTAACAAAGTAACGGTGAGATATTGGAGCAACTTCGTATTAGCAAGCAGACTTTGGTATATTAGCTCTAAAAAACCTTGCTTAGTTGCTTGATATGAAATTGTTAAACACTACCCTCTATTATTATCCTTTTTTCTTTCATTTTATCATGCAAGGCTGAACTGGGTTCAAAAACAGGGGCTCTTAGACAAATGTTGCTGGATCTTTTGGAGGATCCCGATGAATACATCAAATATGTATTATGGGAAGAAATTGTACTAATAAAAGGGAAATTATGACGTGGAATGTTCTTTACCCTCAGAAAAGCTGATTGCTGAAGGTATAATGTGCTCTTTAATCTCAGTTAGGGGTTCTTTTGATAAGAGTTCTAATTGTGGTTCGATCTGGTCAATTTGCAGGAGAGGGGAAGAGATTGAGATGCTTTTGGAAAATTATCTTCAAAGGTTTATCCTCCATTCCACTTATGGTGCATGTTTAGCATGTAGTCGATGTGTCAAATAGGATTATTCATTATCATCTGTTTTCTTCATTTTACTGTTCTAGATAGTCTTCAAGTTGGGTTGCAAGAGC